ATGTTATTTCAACGTCTCTTAATTGAACAAATAGTGAAGGTATGTGTTATATGTTGAAAAATGTCCTGTCTTTTTGCATAAATCAATGCATAAATATAATTTTTTTATTAGTTTTACCCACGTCAACAAACGAATTGAATAATATGATGTAGAAATGATGCGAAAACATTAAATTTTTAAATAGTCTTGCATGGATAAGCAGACACTATTTAATACTGTTCCACATATGATTATACAAAGTCCAATTTGTTCATTTCTATATTTTTCCGTTTTATTATTATACAATTAAATTTCTTTATTATTTTAACAAAAGCAGATCCAACAACAAAGGCATTCTGAAGCACATGAAATACACTGTCACTACTTATTTAATTAAGTATAAGTATATACCAAATGATTAAAAAATACCCATTGCCCACTTTTTCGATTCAATTGGCCAAAATTTGAAGGGATGCTTAGATATTGAAAAATTGATTATTCTATTAAAATTAGCTTAATGTTTTGCAAATAATAACTAGCTCAAGTATCAAATTATATATCAAGTCAGGCTTTTGAGAACATAATTTTTAGTGACATCGATAGTTTGGAAATTCATGTCACAGTCTCAGGAGTGCAGCCTTGAAATTGATCGGCTGCCGAATAAGCCCTCAATAAAGTGTTTTTACTCAAAGCCATTGTGTATGATCAAGAAATTTTGTCGCTTTGAAAGGGGTTTGCATGGGTTTTTCATGTGCACGCATTTCAATTGAATGATATTGCCGATCCAACAAAACATTTCAATCGCTATCAATCCAATTTGCAATCTTTAAGGGAAAAGCAAAGCATTGCGCAATGCGTTGGTTATATTAAAATTTTGACATTCGAACAAAATATTTTTGCATTGCAGTCATGTAATAAAATGTGTAATTTAGACTAAAACCGTTCTTGTGAGCTAAAAGGAATCCACAAATTTTTTGTTGAGAAGCGATGTTAATGTCATAAAATATTTGAATGACAATTCATAAAAGTTTCCAAATCACAAATCATAAAACAAGATTAGTCAAATAAATATTTCTGTTTGCGTAAGAATGGCAATTGATGGTTTCTTCTGGGAATATAGACGTTAATAATAAAACGTATAATTTGCTTGGAAAATAAATAATTTTTACTCATTAGTTCACACAAGATTGATAAATAATTTAATTCAAATATCTGATGAAATTTGACTAGAAGTGCAGTGAAATGAACCGAGCACGAACTTTCTACATAGCTACTCAGTTAGATTCCATTAATTTACGGTGTCTTTTTCATCCACTGTTCATAGTATATTTTGAATTCAATGTAAAGTTCAAAAGCTTTGTGCCACTATTTACTTTTATTGAATAAATATTAATTTTAATTTTCTCTAATGAAATATCAATTTTTTTATGTTGAAGAAACTCATGGATTAAGTATTATTGATTCCAAGACGCCAACATGTAATAGCTTATAAAAACACAATTTAAGGTTTATTTATTCAAAATAGTTAACAACAGGGTACGTATTATCAAATTCATAAATCTATTATTTATTAAATTTAGCTGAAAAAAATCACAAATAGAATTTTAACGAAAACAAACACACTCAAACACTCAGTAAGATCGAATTGCATGGTAGAGTAGATAATGTAACAAATAAATTAAAAATATTGAATTATTTTATGACATTCAATAAATTTTGCAGCAAAAATCTTTGTTGATTTGAATTTACATTTAATAACTCAAAATTAAATAAAAAACAACTTTCTTAATTGCGTATTAAAGGGTATATACAAGGTTTCTTTTGTAAAATATTTACGGTTTCTATAATCTGCTTACTCTTGAATATTTTCATTAAAATTGAATATTTTTATGCAATGTTAAAAAGACATAAAGATATAAATAAGGGTATCGCATTAAAAATTTTACATCGGATATAGCAATAGCTTCAAATTTATTAGTAAAATTTGAAATATATTTGTCTGGAGATGGTATATGCATAAATGCTAAATTTTTGTAATATGATTTTCCCAGGAATAAAATAGCGTTTTCAAATATAAATTAAAAAAATTCTATATACAATGCAATTAAAAATGCAATTGTCAATCAATTTAAAAAGAAATCGTAAATAAATGTTTAATTTAACGAGTAAATAATATTTTAAAGATTTCTCACATTTTTTTAAATTATAATTAATGTATTTTGTATAATTGCTGCTGCACTTTACCACGCATACAAATTTGCAACAGCTGAAAAATACTCCTCTAAGTTATAATCCTAACTTATTTAACTGAAACACTCAAGGTTCATAAAGGGTCAGCGTTGTTACACGTCTAATTTTCATCCACAATTACGTTTGCTTTCTGATAAATTTTGTTTTTTATTTCCTTTGTTAAATAGCTTGGCTTTAACGCAGCAGAGAGGATTAAATATTTCGTTATTTATTCATTCTTTTCATTGCAATTTAAAGATGACCTCACATTGTTTTGATATTGTATTGTAAATATTTGCATTTATAATTTAAGCCTTAAATAAAATAAGGCCTAAATAAATTGAAAAATAACAAGTTGCGAATTAGTAGCAAGAAAATACGTTTGCATTAGATAATGTAATAAAAACAATTGTTCATTTATCCACCTAAATGCTGATGTTCTACAAATGCATCTACCTTTTCAACAGCCAATCGCTCACCTTTATTTTTCGGTAGTGATACAATTGCGTTGTATTCTATTTTTTTCATAATAATGCGTTGAGAAGCGTTTGCAATGAACATGAGTAAATTAAGTCGAAATTACTATAATAGCTATTTAGAAAATAGAAATTATGTTAAAAATTAATTAGAACAGCCTAGTATAACAATTCACTGTTTTGAATATAAGTAACACGAATGACACTAATTATTGCGTTGCAGCATACTGTTGGTAAATATATATATATAGAGAAAAATAAGTGAAAGTTTTAGGCCATCTCCATGTGATTGAATTGTATATTCGGAATGAAAACTTTGTATTTTAAAATTGCTTTTCAAGGTAGACATAATTTGTAATTTAAGTATCTTACTTTGATGACTATTTCAAATTACACATGTATGCAAATAAGATTCCATTTATTTATTTATTTCGAATGGCAGGCTGTCTTCTTGCTTTCCAGTACCTTTGGCTTTCCGTCCTTGTCATTAGACCTGGACACCGAATCAGGTGGGTCTTCTCTATTTCCTCATGTAGGTTACATAGAGGTCATGTGGGTTGAGTGTATACTCCCAATCTGTGAAGGTGTTTTGCCAAGCAATCGTGTCCGGTACGTAGTCTAAACTCAGCAACGGCTTCGATTCTTGGCCAGTCGGCTATGTCGGAGATTGCTACAGTCCACTGTTTCTCCTTTGTTCAAGCTTTGAGTTCGTTGAACCTTGAGATCTGGAATTCTCTCCTGATTAAGGCCTTCATTGTGTGGTAAGACATCGGCCGGTCCATGCATTGCAAAATCGTTGTCCCCTTCTTCCCAAGTGTGTTAGCAAGCTCATTACCTTTAATGCTACAGTGATCAGGAATATATTGTAGGACCACTGTTTTGTTTTTCTTTCTCAGCAGCTTTTAGAGTTTTCTAAATTCCTTTATCTCAGCTGTTTTGGGTGTCCCAATGTTACCAGTTGAGTTTATTGCTGACTCTGAGTCCAAAAATATCATCGCTTTGGTGATTTTTGTATCCAGGCAACATAATTGGCATAGTCCTATGCTAATGGTCTCTATTTCTTCTTCAAAAGCGGATCTATTATGTCCCACTGCTGCGTAGAAAGAGAAGAGTTCAGAATAGACACCTGCACCAACGTTTGCTTGGTTTACTATGTATGACCCATCAGTGAAGACTTGGAGCCATTGATTTCCAGGATAGTTCACATTAATTGTCTCAAGGGCCAGTGAGCGCATTTGCTCTAGAGGGGTGTTTGATTTCCTGAAGAAGTCAAGCAGTTGGGTGCAACACACTACATCAATGTCTGCTAATGGGTTCATGGGGAGAGAGAAGCTTTTTGGTTTATCATCGAATTGTAATGCTTTCTTCAGTTCTATGGCTTTCTGGATTCGACCAGATTGCGTTTTCAGATGTCTTGGTCTATTCTCATAGGTGCTGAAGAACTTGTCCATGGGAATGCGCAGTAGCTTCTCATACAGGATCAAGGCCTTTTCTTTGATAAGGGAACCTATTGTGGTGCTTCCTGTAACTAGGAGCATTGCATCAATGGGTGTTGATTTTATCCCTCCAGTAATTAGTCGTAATGATTGGTTGTGTGCCTTCTCGAGTGGTTTGAGAGTCACCTCTGTGGCTGTAATGAGTGGCTCACAGCAATACAACATTATTGACTGAATAAACATCTTGTAAGTGGTGTTTAGAGTTGAACGTGCACAGCCCCATACGCTACCAGAAAGACGCTTCAGGACATTCACTCTATTGGAGACTCGTTCTGCTATTTAAGCAATGTGACTTTTACACGTTAGCTTTGCGTCAAAAGTCATTCCGAGATAAGTGAACTCATTGGTTTTTTCTATGGTAGTATCCTTGTACCTTAGAATCGGATTTATGCTGTGATGGGCCAAAGAAAAGTTAGGAATGCACATTTTGCAGTGTTGATTACCATTTCATTGATGTCGCACCAGTATGCTAGTAGTTTAAGTGCACTATTAAGAGCACTTTCTGTTCTCTCCAGGGCGTTATTCTTTGGGGCGGAATACCATAGAACAAGATCATCTGCATAAAGTAAACACTTGATGCCCGTGACTGTATGTACCAATTCGGATATGCCTGAACGCCCGTGACTGTCTGTACCAATTCGGCTATGTCAATTGATGCCTGTGACTGTCTGTACCAATTCCATGTGGTAGAACGGTGACTGTCTGTACCAATTCGGCTATATCATTGATGGAGTAAAGTAAACACTTGATGCCCGTGACTGTCTGTACCAATTGGCTATTGCACTTGATGCCCGTGACTGTCTGTACCAATTCGGCTATGTCATTGCATGCTCGTGACTGTCTGTACCAATTCGGCTATGTCATTGATGAGGACATTGAAAAGAGTGCAGGTTGTGACAGCTTCCTGTGGACCCTGTGAAAGGCCTGTTTGTAAAGGATTGGATTTTGATAGAGCATTTAAGCTGTTTGTAAAAGATTGGATTTTGATAGAGCATTTCCAAGGCAAAAGATTGGATTTTGATAGAGCATTTCCGTATCTGAAAAAAGATTGGATTTTGAACATTCCCGTAACTGACTTTACACGATCTTTGTCCAATAAATGCTTTTATCCAGTTTAGCATATTATGCTTAATACCAATTTTCGCAAATTTTAGAATTAGCTTCTCTTTCCATACTAAGTCCAATTTTAGAATTAGCTTCTCTTTCCATACTATGTCATATGCGTTTGAAATCGACGAAAACAGCCGCAAGGGTATTTCTTGCACCTGGAAATCGACGAAAACAGCCGTAAGAGTATTTCTTGCATCATGTTGGGAGAAAGTGGCTACTTGTTGATGACCTAAAAACTGCTTGTTCATTGATAATAATATTGTTGGTCTCAAGGAATCTGAAAGTTGATTGTTCACTCCTAAGAATATTGTTTGTCTCAGGGAACCAGGTCAGCCTCCTGTTAACTATTCTTTCCAAAAGTTTAGCCAGCACGCTTGTGAGGGAGATTGTCAAAGTTGCTAGGTTCTTTGCCCTTTTTTAGTACTGATCAAAGTTGCTAGGGTCTTTGCCCTTTTTAGTACTGGTATTAGCAACTTTCCATTGGTTAGGTACAAGACTTGTCTCCCAGATTTAGGTCTTTGCCCTTTTTTATTACTGGTATTACTATGGCAACTTCCAATTTTTAGTACTGGTATTACTATGGCAATTTTCCATTGGTTGGTAAGTACTGGTATTACTATGGCAACTTTCCATTGGTTAGGTACGAGACTGGTCTCCTAGATTTTTCGGTTTGGTACAAGACTGGTCTCCCAGATTTTGTTGTAAAGCATTTCCTTGGCTTTTGGTCCCTTTCTAATTAGAAATTCCGGACTTGGCTTTTGGTCCCATTCTAATTAGAAATTCCGGATGGATTCTTTTGGACCCATTCTAATTAGAAATTCTGGATGAATACCATCCCATTCTAATTAGAAATTCTGGATGAGTGCCGTCTTCCGGTCCCATTCTAAATTGAAATTCTGGATGAATACCGTCTTCGCCAGGGGACTTCTTGAGCTGTTTTATCGCAGCACTAAGTTCGCAAGGTCGAAAAAGGTTCGGTAAGTACATTATTGGGTGTTGCGTCTTACTTAATTTCACAAAACGGTCTTACTTGTATCTTTAAATCTCTTGAATATTTTCTGACTTCTTACTTGTAGTTTTAAATCTCTTGAAGATTTTCTGACAAAGTATCTTTAAATCTCTTGAAGATTTTCTGACAAAAGTGTTTTTCTAGTCCTTGTGGGAATAGAACCTCGCAAAGCAGTTAGCTATTTGCTTGTGCGAATAGAACCTCGCAAAGCAGTTAGCTATTTCGGTGTCGCACTGACAAAAGGGTTTTTCTTTTGCTTGTGGGAATAGAACCTAATGTAGTTAGCTATTTCGGTGTCGGCGGTAAGCAATTTGCAGTTAGCTATTTGGGTGTTGGTGGTAAGCAATTTGCCGTTTAAGCGTATTGGCTCTTTCTTGGGTCTTTCTCTGTTGTTTTGCGAGGTTACCCAGGAATTTGAAAGTGCTTGGCTATCACTTTGATAGTTGATATTTGAGATGAACTTCCTAGAAATTTGAAAGTGCGTTGGCTATCACTTTGATAGTTGAATATTGTTGGAAAGTGCGTTGGGTATCACTTTGATAGTTGATATTTGAGACTGTCGAAGGAAGTCCGTTTAGCTTGTAAGATGGCTTGCCTCGAAGTCCGTTTAGCTTGTAAGATGGCTTGCCTTAGGACAGCTTTGTTTAGCTTGTAAGATGGCTTGCCTTAGGACAGCTGACTGTATTGCTTGTAAGATGGCTTGCCTTAGGACAGCTGATTGTCGTTTGCTTGTAAGATGGCTTGCCTTAGGCCAGCTGATTGTCGTCTGCTTGTAAGATGGCTTGCCTTAGGACAGCTGATTGTCGTCTCCAATTTTTTTTTTGTCTTCCGTTCTTCTAGTCTGATCAGCAGTGTTGCGAAGGACGTTCCGTTTTCTTTTCAGTTCCTCAAGGTGTTTAGACCAAAACTCTCTTTCTTTTCAGTTCCTCAAGGTGTTTGGACCAAAACAGCTTTCTTTTTAGTTCCTCAAGGTGTTTAGACCAAAACACTATCTTTCCAGTTCCTCAAGGTGTTTAGACCAAAACACTCATTTCAGTTCCTCAAGGTGTTTAGATCAAAACACTCGATAGGCTTCCTCAAGGTGCCTAGACCAAAACACTCGATAGTGTTTATATTTGCCTCGGGGAATAGTTTTCTTTGCACATCTGATCATACTCGTGATAGCAGTGCAAAGTTGGTCAGGATGTTGGCTGAAGTTAAGGGGAATAGTTTTCTTTGCACATCTGATCATAATATTCGGGTACACAGTTTATCAGGATGTTGGTTGAAGTTGAGGGGACTTGGGTTTGCCAGGATGTTGGTTGAAGTTGAGGGGACCTGTGAAGTTCATTCTCCAAAAGGTTTGTGAATCTAGGCCAGTCAGCCTTCTTGAAGTTCCATGATAATCTAGTTGGCACTTTCCTTGATATGCTTTTGCTGCCGATGGTAATANCCATGATCGTAAATTATTTTGCGGCGAGTATGCTCACTGATATCGCTTGAAGCCAAGAGTAAATCAGCTGCTCACTGATATCGCTTGAAGCCAAGAGTAAATCAGGAGTTGTTCTGGTTTCATTGTAGTGCAAATATGTAGCCAGGTCCTCATTGCAGTAAATAAGTTTCAGAGGGTTGCTGTTTAGCATGTCTTCAATTTCCTTCCAGCTATGTTTGTATCCTTGTAGCCCCATCTGGTGAAATGGGCGTTAAAGTCTCCTAATACGATAGTTTTTGTGTGAGATGTTTAGAAAGTCAAAGTTTGACAATTTTGAGGTGGATTATAGACTGCATATATTTTGAAATGGTTTTGAAATTTCCAAAAATTCAATCTGATTATTTCACATTTGTCCTGTTTCGAGCTCATACTCTTGATTAGATCGTAGTGTGAGGTGAGGCCTTCTTTTACTCCAGTTAGAATTCCACTTTCAACTTGCCGGTATTTAGGTATATGAAACAGGGTGCAACCTGGAAATTGGTAGTACTTCAATTTGTCATC